GCGCCCCCAGTCCGCACAGTACACTTGTCACTGTAGTAAAAAATGAAATTAAATCACGGCCCCGCCGCTTTCTACACGTGTCCGCGTGGCCGCCTGGCCTGCGGCCAGGCCGCCCCGCACGTGGACGCCACTTGTCGCCGCAGCGCCCCCGTGCGCCAATGAGAACCCGTGCGGGAGCGCACGAACACACATACACAAACACACAGACAGACAGACACGGATTTTAGTATACGCGGGGATAAACATCGATACAGTGACCCCCAAAGGTGGCGACCCGAAATAGGCATAAGGGTCACTGTACCGGAGGGGGTCACTGTACTGGAGCAGGGTGCAGACGGCGCACAGACCCCACAACAAAGGGGTGAAGTCCATCTTACAGGCCTGACAACATAAATGGCGAATAAAAATGGGGCTCGCAAACATAAAATGCCACGTTAAGCTGGCGCGAAAAGAAATCATTGCAAAAATAAGTGAAAAATAAGCAAACAGGGACACAAAGCACCCTTGAAATCAACCTTCACCCCTAGCTTCAAGCCCATCCAGGAGCAAAACCGCATTCTCGGTACTGTGAAGGCCACTGACGAAACCTCTGAATCAGGGCTGACAAAAGCAGCGAGTACGATTTTTTCTCACCACGTGTAAACACACAACTCTACAGTACAAGATACACGTGCATGAACGTTACAATAGGATCATCGCAATAAAGTTAAAGCAAACCTCAGAGTCTGCAGCGAAAACACGAAGGCATCTTACGCATTCACGTTCCGAGATGTCGTCTTCGACCAAACGTTCCCAACCTACCCTTGAAACAAAGCAGCAAGTTTTGCGGCTACTTGGAGCCAAACCAGATGGATCTTTCGGCTCTTCTATCATTAATGAGTCTACAAGTTGCGCATGGACTGCAACTGCTTTGGCAAAAGAGTATCGCGTCTCGAAAGCTGCAATATTTAGCTGGAAAAAGCAATCGGCAAAGATAATGGGACAGGAGCTGCATACTCGTAAGTCCCGTAAGCTTTCGAGGATGAGAGAGGGGACATTTCCGGTTGTGGAAGCAGCTGTTTCAACCTATATGCGACAAAGAATGGTATACATGAAGGGAGAGTCTCTCTTTCGCGCCGATTTTGTAGCTAGAACGGCGAGAGACATTGCACAAAAACTGCTTGAACGCCACGAACTAGTATTGGAAGGCGAGCAGTTACCGGATGAAGAAATTGCTGTTTTAAAGGAGAAGGTTTCGGCTTTAAAAGGTTTTAAAGCAAGCTCAATGTGGGTTGCTAACTTTATGCGACGTAACAACATGCATAGTTGCAAAGGTACTGGACAAGCTGGACACTTTGACTCACAGACTGTTTACATGGCTCGTCGTGCAATCCAAAAATCTGTGTGCACAATACCCATTGGTTGCATTTCAAACACGGACGAAGTTGCTGTGCTGTACCGGTCGTTTCCAAGCCGTGCCATTCGAAACGTGGATGAACCAGCGACGTACACACGCATCAAAGATCGCCTCACAGCTGTGGTGACTGTTTTCGCGGATGGTCGGAAGGCGCCGCTAACAATTATTGGGAAGTCTAAAAGGCCTAAAAGCTTTCCGCGCCACTTCGATGCAGCTAAAGACTTAGGCGTATTCTACAAGTCACAAGGAATGCTTGGAATACTCAACCGCTTTGGACTTCTATTGTTGCAGGATTGAACAAGGCTACGCGTATCCAAAGCAGAAATGTTGTCAGTATTGTGGATAATTGCTCGGCACATGCTATTGACTACAGTCCGTATGAAAACTGGTCAACTGTTTTTCTTCCTCCTAACATGACCTCCGTTTTGCAGCCTGTTGATGCTGCAATTGGTCGATCGTTTAAGTGCGCTTTTAGACGTTTGCTTGTTGATCACATACTTACGTATGTGGACAAACAAATGGCTTTACCAGAAGGAGAGCGCTCAACGTTTAAACTGACACAAGCAGTTACAACGTATGATGCTTTGGTTATGATGAAGAAGGCATGAGATATGGTCCCTATCAGTGTTATTCTAAATGGGTGGTTGGTGACCGGTATTATCGCACTGTACCAACGCGAAGAGATGTTGCAGAGAAGGGCGGATGCTGGAAATCGCGCTGAGCCCGCAATGAAAGCGATTTGCTCTTCTGCTACATCCACAGAGTCTGCGATAAATGCGTCGGATGCCCTGCACGCAAGATTGAAAGGAGAGGAGTGGCTTAAAGATGAAGGTATCAATACAGAAAATGATACATCTATATTGGATGAGTCTATTCAAGATTGCGATTGGACAAGAAGCAACATAGATTTATTTACAAACGACTGGGAAGCACTGGCGCGGTTAAACGTGGTGGACAACTTCAGTGACGGGGACTTGCAGGAGTTTTCTACGATGGAAGAAGGCCTGGATACTTGCCTACAAGTTTCAGGTGGCAATGCCATTGAGGCAGCTGTTTCAACTGCTATTGAGGAAGTATGGGATGCTGCAACAGAGTCTGATGCAGACCCAGAGGCAGATTCGCAAAGAGAGGAAGAGGGCGTTGAGCAGCAGAAGCCCTCTATTACTCGTTTGCAGGCAGCAGCAGTGGCATTGAGGAAGGAGGCCACTCTATTTTTTCAAAGTGAGCATCCTTTGTCAAAGGACATTAGGGATGATTTGGTCGAAATTTTGGACATTGAGATAGAGAATATTGCCGGCTACCGCAAGCGCTCTGGTCGTCAGTCAACCCTAGATTCATTTTTTCAGAGTTCCTCTTGAGTGACCCGTTAAAATTTTAATAAAAATATACCTTTTTTTCAGTGACCCTCTAAATTTTCGGGTCACTGTACAGGTAAGGTCACTATAGTGAGGGGGTCACTGTAAAAAGCAAAAGTGGGCCTTACGGCCACTCAGCGCAATGGTGGCAAGAAATTTTTTTCTAACGGTCACTATACCGAGGGGGGTCACTGTGACAAGGGGTCACTCTATCGATGTTTATCTCTGTATACGCGGGGAAGTCGTTCTCGAACTCATGCGTTCATGGCGTTCAGATCCCATCCACCTCCCCCCCAATGTTTTATTCAGCACCCCCAACCTTTAGCCTCAAGGCGCAATGGGTCATTCCAATCCTAATGACACAACCCCAGCCCAATCCGCGCGCCCTAAGCAAAAGCGACCACGTCTATCCCTTTAACAGAAGTCGAAATTGCGAATCTCACACGTACCGGTATCTATTCTACAGAAGCTACCAATTCATGTTGCACTGAATGATCCGTTGGCGACTCATTGTGAAGAAAAAGTGCGAACTGTAGACATCTCAAGGTGAGTGGAGGTGGAGAAGAAGTCGGATGTAATTGTAGGAATACTCAACGACGTGATGGATGGTCTGCAAAATCTGTCTTTGCCCGGTCGGGCTTAGAAAACAATGATTGCAATAGTAGTGGTTCTGACACGCGACCATGCCGCCCGATACCAACTGCTGCTAGGCTCACGGAATGGTTTTGGGGCCTTCAGAAATTGGCGTATGAGTGCAATTTATTGGAAGCAAGTTCTATGTTACGACGCGTGAGGAAAGCGTTTCTCAATGCACAGGCTCAAGGAAGCAGATCACGAGAGAGGCAAGCAGTGCAGGGCGATTATCTATGCCTAAAGCGTATCTAGGAAAGCGTTAGAGGGGCGCATATTTCCTCCGTTTTACTCTCCGCTAGTAGTGCCACTACTGAATAGTGCCACCTTCTGGCATGTGGCAAGGGGTGGCACTATTGCGTGTATCCCACTGTATTGATCTAACCAGAGACAGTAGTACCGAGAGAAGAGCACTTGTTCATGCAACTGCAGAAGATGAACGCTGCTGATACGATTGCTTGTGCAGAGCCCCGTGAACAAGGGCAGGTGATTCAAATCGGTGGAGAACTCGCCGACATCCTTTTACCTGCATCTACTCAAGAGTCTCGCAGATATGTTTTCTGGGTGAACCGCATGCACGTCATGCTGTAGGGCCTGAAAATCTGACGTGTTCATCAACGCTGTACCGTACCTGAATGTTCTACGACAGCGCTTCACTGTGCTCCACACGTGTACAGTAAATGCCACACGTGTAAACTGTAAGGCCGTGTCCACTGTTGTCCGGGATCAATCAAGATGTGAAGAGATGAGCCAATTGCGACCGATGAAATCCTTACAACCAACCACGTTTCTAAGCCATATCCGCAGCCGTGCAGCATCCTCTCCAATTTGCGCTTGATCCTTGTTGAGCGATGCCGAGTTATGGGCATCAATGAGAACTGCTATCCTCTCCTCCTCCTGTCACTGGAAACCTAACGTCGCTGATTCCTTATGGTCGCGTAAATCCCTTCCTCTTGACTCTATAGCCCCGCAAAGCCCCCTAATTAGTGAACCCCATTGCGCTGAGAATTAATCTCTCCTGTTATTACCACCTCATCAATTTTGTCCGCGTTTCGATCTAACATCTATCTCCAACATGTGCAACAGCACTACTTGCTACCATGCCCTCCCCATGCTTCGCGGGCTGAGCGGCCGCCGCAGTCGCGCACGAGCTTCAAGGGAATCCCGCAATCGTTCCAATAACACCCTCTTGTACTTCATTCTCGCCGTCATCGTCTTCGAAGAAGTGACCCAAGTGGTCGCAGGTCGCGATTACTACGACATTCTTGGCGTATCCCGCGACGCCGATTCTTCCACTATCAAACGCGCATTCCGCAAGCTCGCTGTCAAGTACCATCCAGACAAAAACCCCGGTGACAAAACGGCAGAGAAGATGTACGTTGAGCTCAACAATGCTTATGAAGTCCTTGGCGACAACTCAAAACGACAACGCTATGACATGTACGGCGAAGACGGCCTAAAGGGTGGGGAGCAGGATGGCGACGCCGACGATTTCTTCTTTAACCCGTTCGGACGTCGAAACCGTCAGAGGGAAAGACGCGTTCCAGACGTCTCTGTTCCGCTCAGCGTTAGTCTTGAAATGCTGTATAATGGCGGCGTTATGGAAGTCTCTCATAAGAAGCGAGTAATTTGCTCCAGGTGGTCAGACTGCGAGAGCAAATGCACCAAGTGTGGGGGTAGCGGTATGATCATAACAACGAGACGGTTAGGACCGGGCTTCGTACAACAGATGCAGCAGACCTGTCCAACGTGTGGAGGAACGGGCAAGATCGGAAAACCGAACTGCAAGTCTTGTCCGAAGGGACAATTCGAGCAAGTCGAAAAAATGCTTCTCATTGATATAGAAAAAGGTATGAGAAATGGACAAACTATCACCTTTGATGGTCAGACCGATGAGAAGCCGGATCATTATCCAGGTAATCTTCATTTTGAAATCGACACCAAAGAACATGACCGGTTTCAGCGCGATGGAAATGATCTTCACTATTATCTGGATATCAACTTGTCTGAGGCACTTGTCGGGGTCGATCGCATTGTCCGGCAGCTGGATGGGAGAGAGGTGAGCATCCAAACTCGCGGAGTGATCAGCCCCAAAGAGAGAGTCGTCATTGAGGGAGAGGGTATGCCTGCGTTTGACGGTGTAGGGAGAGGCAACTTGGTTGTCGAGTTTTGGGTCCAGTTTCCGGAGACTCTGACAGACGAGCAGAGGAAGGGTGTCATCGAAATACTAGGAAAGCCGCCTACAAAAGATGAAACAGGGGACGGAACTAGCAGTGCTAGCGAATCCGCAGACACCGAAAAAACAGAGTTGTAGTTGACGCGTGACACAGCCATCAAAACGTCATGGCAGACGCAACGGCACATGGGCAACAGACCTGTGGCATTGGAGATTTGATGCCGTCGACACTGGCAAATACGAGCGTTATACGTTTCTCGTTTGCGTTGATTGTCGTACTTCTTGTGCATCAGAAGATGCGAATGGTTCGTGCTCGGGGGTCTGAGTGTAAATATTCGTAATAATGGCGTTGGTACGCTCTGTTTTTTTTGGAGTATACTATCCGACGTACAGAAGCACCATGGGTTACATCCCCATGTTTTCGTCATGCTACATCGACCCTAACCATTGTTAGATGCTAGTCGCCCGGGTTGGGGATCGCAGGGAATCGAAACACCTTACGCTGATTAAGCGGCTGCAGCGGCCTCACATTGGAACCATTTTGAGCAGCCAGCAAATCCTGTAAATCTTGCTTCGCGACTTTTGTTCGTTCCCCCATTACTAGCCAACGAATCCCCTCGGTACCGGGGGGCCTTGTAAACGAACCATCGTAGGAGAAAAAGCTGGTGTGTTCGAGGTCTGGAAGAATATCTCTAAAATCAAAGTCCATGGCGATGCCAGCTGGGCGAGACTCAATCTCAGACTTACTGAGAGGAAAGTTTTCGAATAGCTCTTGCAACCAGAGATCAGAGTTCTCTGCTTGATCGCATATAATAGCTACAACTAGCGCCTGAGGAGCTGGGAAACCGTCTGCTCTAGTCGGTGTAACTATGGTTTCCAATGGGGGAGGAACGGTTTCGGTGGAGGTTTGCTCAACCGCGGCAAGTGGTTTCTCCCTGGCCCATTGCCCCGAAATCTTTTCAAAGGCGAAGTGGATTTCCATATCCCCTCGCTTGCCCTCTACAACATGCTCAGAACCCCCTACGTGGAAGTGACAGCTCCGAAACGCGTATGTGCCAGCATCCGGAATTGTGACGATTGCTAAAGGCTCAGGCGGCCTATACACATCAACGGGTGGCGCATCACCCACAAGAGGCGGAGGTGGTGGGATGTATGGCTCAATTAGAAGCGATCTGTTCACCGCCGACGGATTGACTTCTCGCATGCGGACGGTGACTTTGCCCGGACTAGTTTTGAGCGTTGGTCGGGAGGCACTTTGCGAGGTTGCTTCGCGATAAGACAGTGCGACTGGCGACTGCTCTTTCCCTGTGTCGCAAATGGCCCATTCCTCCTGCATAGAACCCCATGAAGCAGGGCCATTGTCCTCATCATAACCCCAAGCGGCTTTTCGCGGTTTGCTGCGTGGTTTCGTCTGGCCCGTGGGTGTCGACACTTCCGGCTCGGTTTGTGTCTGTGCAATAGCTTGGGTAGTCGACAGTATAACTGCAGTCGTTGCACCCGCTATCTGTCGCAGGAAATGACGGCGCGATGGCTGCGGCGCGGACGAGCAGCGGGGAAGTAAGATTTGCTCAGCGTAGACTTGTTTGCGAACGACCCGCAGCGGGACATTGGAGAGGAACGCAAGGGTTCCCTCCATAGTAGATAGCAAGCCGGGGCGAGGCTTCGATGACTTGAATCGCCCGACTTGTCGTGTACCCAATTGTCCGAATGCAAGATTTGTTCAGGCTTGTCGAGGGAGGTGGAGATGGAGATGAAGATTGCTCCTGATCGAACAAATCCAAACCCTTGGTCCAAGCATACACACGTGTAGACCACGTGTATTGGAGCACAGTTCACTGCAACCCAAAAGCAGCATACTGTACCCTTCCCCGAGGGGGCAATTTGGTAATTATTTTGACGGAGCCTAACAAGTGTTTAATGGCACTATCCTGGGTCCAAACGTGCCCGCAAACCTGCTCAAAGGAAAACGCAAGACCTGGAGTGCGCATTGATCCACCACTGCGTCTGGTCCGATAACCCTCCTCCTCGTTCATGAAAAAAACTACAGTTGCTTATAATACTGTACTGCGTTGACCGCTTCCCGCCTCCCGGACTTCCATCCTTTCTCGGGTAGGATAGAGGCGCCGCGAGGCGGTTCTCAACCTCAGCGAATTGTTCTTACCACCAAAATGTCCTCCCCCATCCCGACCAATCCTGTCAAGAATGTAATGGTCATTTCTCCGTTCATCATTCAGAGGACGTTGCTGCCTTTCTATTTCAAATGAATACATTGCGCTTAAAAGTATGCACGCCCCATACGCCATTGTCATGAAGCTCGCAAAGAGGAAATACTCTGAGGCCTGTTCATGCCTTGAGGAAGCAGATGAAGGAGACAGATTCCCTAGCATTGGATCGAAAAGTTTCGCTTCCGCATTTCTGAAAGTGTTGTCTCCCCGCTGTGGCGGCGTTCACACTCTTTAAGGCTGCCACGACTGATACGAGGCTGTGATTCTTGAAAAACGTCGTTCTGCCAGCTTTACTATCTGGCCCTCTGCAATCTACAGTAGAATATACATTATTTGATAAAAGCGGGTTCGTCCTGTCAAACACTTGTGACATGAACCAAGAGTACCAACGGCATCACCTTTCCTCGAAACCGAGAGAGCTGCCATCCTGCGTTAATACTATTTGCAAAAAGCCGCGTGCCATCTTCAGAGTACCTCTCCGTCAGAACAAAATCTCTGATTATGACGACTCGCAATGCTACGTTGCCTACGATGAGCACTCTCCTGATACTACCGGCTCGCCTTGGTGCAGCTCCTTCCACTCCCATTTCCCAGACCCGTCCAGGACCACCGCTGCCTGATGAAACTCCATCACAGCCTTGCGATGCGCCACCGATAACATAGTGATTCCGGCATCCGCCATGGCATTGTACAAGACGACCTCTCCATCTGCGGACACTGCAGCTGTGCACTCGTCGAGTACTGCAAATTTCGGCCTGTGATATAAAAGCCGCGCAACAGCCAGTCGGTTTCTCTCCCCCCCACTCAATGTTTCCTCCCACGACAAGCAGCCGTCAAACCCGTGGCATCGTGCTGTCAGATGTCCAAGTTCAACCCTCTCCAGACAGCTCTGGGCGTGATCTTCGTCAAACACGATATCTTCTCCGATGACCACCCCGGGCAACTGTGGGTACATCAGCTGTTCTTGCAAAGAACCAGCATACATGTATGGCCTTTGCGACAAGTAGAAGATGTCATTACGCGCGGGCAGCGTCACAGTTCCCGCTTGAAGCGGCCAGAGACCAGCCAGCATTCGCAGAATACTACTCTTGCCGCTGCCGTTCGGACCGAGAATAATCACACTCGTTCCCTTCGGCGCCTCCATATCTAATTCGCGCACAAGCGGAGAGCCATCTGGAGACCACATACAAACATTTTCAAGCTTGATGAAGTTGCCGTTCTTTCGCTTAGGCGGAAATCGGTTTGCCAATTCTGAAATCTGCGATCGTGAAGAGATGGTCGTCGTCATCCCCGATTCCTCGTGGATATCTGACATGTGATCCTGCACCTTCCGGAAGGCTTCTAAGTGCCCTTGCGGCTTGCCGAGCTCCTTAACCTTTTCAATCAATTCGGAGACGCGCTCCGTGTGTCCCGCTAAAGTGTTGATTCGCTTGTACACGAGCACAAGCTGCCCCATTGCGGCGGATGTCTGCATCATGAGACGCATCGAGTTGATGTACTGTCCAGCAATGACATTAGTTTCTAACGCTTCCTTCTTTGACCGATAGTACAGAGGCACGGCGAATATGACGAGACCGATAATACTGGCAGTGTATTTCACGAGATAGCCGTCAATACATTGCTGAACAAATCGTTGGACAACGCTGAGGCGGGAGTGATGAATCATACGGTCAAGACGGGTGTTGAGGGACATCATCTCGGCGCGCCCGGCAGGGGGATCGTTGAAGGCGACTTCCTCGGCACTGGCAGCAATCCTGTGGTGGGCTGTGCGCAAGTCACCGCTGAGGGATGACCACTCGGCGGTCATGCGACCGAGAGGGGGGGAGATGCGCTTGAGCAAAGCACCGACAACTATGAAATAAGCGTACAGCCCAGCTTGTCCCTTGTAGCCAATGATGTGTGACAGGGATCGTGAAAAAACAATGACGTCGAGTAACGGCTTGAAAGTGTACGAGTAGAGGTCTGCGACTGTTTCGCAAAAGCGCTCGACGTCTTCAGTGATGCGCTGGTCCGGGTGACTGAGGCCACTGAAGACGCTGGCAGCATAGTAGGCGCGATTTCCGCAATAGCCCTTGTGCAAGAAACGGGTGAGCCGCTTCCGGAAGGCGAGGGAGAGCAGAATTTGCATGGACTTGAGAGCGGAGTTGACAATGGCAGCCGGGACGGCAGTGAGAGCGAACAAGCCGAGAATGCGACGGAAGCCGCGCCAGTCGAGGGCAGTGACGGTTGCAGCGCAGATTCCCTCAAGTTTTGTGATACGGTCTGTGAGAATGGTGCGGGAGAAGAGCAATACGCCCTGGATGACGACGAGGGCGGCCTCCTTTGAGAAAGGACCCGGAATGCAGACGCGAAGAATGTCTGCAAGACGGGCAGCAAAGCGGCGGTCAACTGCAGTGACGGGAGTGCGAGCGGAACGGCGCTTTGTCTTGGAGAGGGCTGCGTCGCCCAGTGCAGCAGAGACGAGGGCGCGTTGATCCTTGCGGCAGTGGTTGAGAAGAGATTGGACACGAGCGACAGTGAGGGTGGTGCCACTGCCCCCGACAAGCAGGGCGAGGGCGATGCGCGTGCGAGGCCCGAGGCCGGTGGTGAGAAGGGCGCTCATTTCGAGGGATGCGGTGAGAGGGTTAGCGTAGGCGACACGAGGGAGGAGGAAGGCAGGAAAGCCGGGAGGGACGGTCCTTTTGTAGTGAGAAAAGCAGCGGGGAGTGGGGAGGAAGGAAAACAAGGAAATGAGGATGGAGGAGGCAGCAGAGTTAGATTGTTGTGATGGTAGAGAGAGAGAGGGGTTAGCGCTGTTGTCGGCGGAGGGAAGAGTAGATTGCGCGCGGCTGAGGAGAACGTGCGGTGAGGGGGAAGAAGGCAGAGGAAGCAAGGTTGTTTGGATCACGGAGTCTTGGGGTATGGGATGGGATTGAATCAATCGCAGTGTGGGCGCAGAGGCAGCCGAGGCAGCCAAGGTGCGCGCAGTGTGGCACCCGTGCTCCTGCATTGGCACCAATGCGCGCTGCCTTCATGGCCCGTATGCTCAGCTCCCTTTACAGTACATTTGGAACTGACCTCTTTCGTCTGTAAGGACAATACCTCCTGCTCTTCCTTAGGTAGGCAGGAGCAGCCACACGAATGCATCAACACGACATCCACGTGTAAATCTTCACACACGTCCCAACCCTCTCCCCACGCATCCTTCTCTCAAGAACAGTAAATTGCCAATAATTCGTCTCACGAACCAGACCACAGTTTTGTACCCTTGCTGTTGTACACGTTCCAAAGGCATGGCGCACACAGACAGCACCTCGACCGTAGCCCAGTGCCAAAAACAGAAATGTTATAGAACAGCAACCTCAATCGTTCTCTCACTTCAATCCTCATTCCCATTCATCTCCACACAACATGGTAACATTGGCTGACAATACCTCTCTAATAAAAAAGCACTCGCTCCTTACCATCGCATTACCAACTTCCATGCCTCTTCACCAAGTCTGCCACGCTATGCCCATCCAAAACCTCCTTTTCTTCCATGACGGCTCATTGTATGCTCTGTTTCATATCCTTCCTTCTCTGTTTTCTCTTCCCTCATTCATTAGCCCGACAACAACCTGCTCTGCAATTTCCTAATCTCAACTTCGACTTGCCAGGAACCCTCCTGGACACAGTTTGTGACTCGACAGGCAATCTATATGCCCTCGGCCAAGACTCATTAGCAACCTTTCTCGTGAAACTTTCCCCATCTCTCGACCTCAGATGGCGTATCAACATTCCCTCCAGTCCTGAGATCGTTCCTGCTTTAGCTTTCGATCACGCCGCGGGCTTGTTTGCTGCTGCTGCCGTTGCCCATACAGAATCCGTACAAACATCGGAATCTTTTATACCTGCAGATATCGTCCTCTACCAGATTAATACGTCCAATGGAAGTCTTATTGCTTCGGTTTTGGTGAAATCAGCTCAAATTCTCTCTGGTGCCCACATCCAGTGCATATCCGGAACAACTTCGGTCATTTTCTCTTTTATATACGTCGCATTTATCTCCCTGGGAACTTCTGGCTCAGAAGATGCTAGTACCAGGGTCGTACAGCTGCAAAAATCTAGTTCTGGGTCATTGACGTCAATCTGGGGTCAAAATCTTTATACTGCAGACTACAGTGCGACTTCTTTTGGTATTGCCGACACCTTACAAGGTGAGCAAATAATAGTTGTCGCTCTTAGCAGGAGCAGACTCGCTGGGGTCCCTCATAAACTCTCCGCATTTATCTTGGACAGCGAAGGAACCATTTCTCAAAAAGGGAGCACGGCCGCCTCGTCTGCGCAATCGAAAATATCCAACCTCGCAGTTGATGAAAGAGGTGTATTATATGTCGGTGAAAGCCCGCGCTGGTTGCATCGGCTTGCGCTTCGCTCATTGAACGGTGCCGGATTTCTTGTGTCTCTGTGGAACGTTTCTGAGATAAATGTGGTGGATATGGCCGTGTTAAACAATGGGTCGGCTATTTACGTCTTATCAAAAAGAGAGAGTTTTCGAAATGATGGTGCCATCGTTGTGCGGACAAAAAAGGCGGTTCTTTCGGTGTTCAACGAATCTGGCAGCTTGCAATCTCAATATGAGCATAAAGACATAATTCCGGATTCTAGCCGAGAACTGTCTTCACTAAAGCTTACTGATCCGGAGAACAGCAGCTCTGCAGTCTTGGGAGGTTCTTTTCAGATGCCAGAACGAGAACGATGGATATCCATTGGCTTGTTCACGTTTCCTAAACTAGTTGAGAGTAACCACAACGACAAAGAGTCGCTGGCTCCTCCCGCACCAGACTCGAGTCTCCCGGAAACCTCCGTTTCGAAGGGAAATTCAACCTTGGTCGTTGTCGGGGTCAGTACTGGAATGGCTGCTTTTTTTGTGGCAGTGGGAGTCGCCCTCCTCGTTCTTTACAGAAGAGGTTTGGGTATTAAGGAGGACGAAGACGTGTCTGCAGGAGGCGGTGCTACCAATACTCAGGACGAAACCATTACACAGAGGCCTTCCGGAAAGGAGTACTTGCAGCACAACAACATCTTAGTTTGAAACTCTGGAGTCCATTTTCTGTTTCTCCATGTCATGAACAATTACAACCTGTAGTTGAACTTGTAGAGTTATGTTTGACAGTATCCTCGTGCCGCATTGTCCATTAGATTCTTCGCGTATCTTTTTCCCAGCCAGAAATATTTTATGAGGTTCGTGGTCTATTATATTTTTGCGGACTATTGGAGGTTGAGCTGAGGAAGGTACAGCGCAGTGCATGACGTAAGCCAACCTGACGGTCTCCGTCAGCGTTCACGCCTCTTTCCCACCATGAATCAAGTGTGTTGATCCTAAAACTTCTTCCCGAAATATACAAATGGCTGAGATGGAAGTGTCTTATTGTTTGCAAAAAGCACAAAGTTGAAGAGAGGGATACATTTGAGGCAATTTTCCTCGCCACCAAGAGTGTTGACATACATTATGGTGAGTGCGACATGCCCATACACCGAGGAAAAATCTTGTGGTTGAGAGCGGCGTTCCCGGCGTTCCCCAAATTGTCAAGCCGAGTGGAAGCGCGAGTTGCTCGAAACTGATAGAAAACGATAGACCGTTTAACACAAGACGACAGGTGTTTTAAATTGCTCTACAGGACAGGGCTTCGGTAAAGAACAAACCACCACATGGCCCTCAAAAAAGACCGGAGGCCCGAGAGAATTCATTGCTTTGTTTCTCTCCCCCGTCTGAGTAATTTGCTATAGGGACACTGGTGAGTATCTAGTCAAAAGCACGAGCCCTCGTGCTGATCCTTGTCACATGGCTTGTTTTGAAGTTCAGGGACTTTCGAAAAGAGATATGTGGCTTCCAAATAATAAGATCAAGGTTCAATGGCATGTCGGATTAACATTACCAATGAATCGGAAACTGAAAATTCGTGTCCAGGCGGCAAGCACACAAGCAAACCCCCCCTTCCAACTCATTTCTTCGTACTCGTGCTTCTGAGTAAAACTGCCGGAAACTCACTCTTTGTCCGCTTCTATTTGATGAAGGGTGTCAACGAGTTCTGTGGGATCTGGTTGGTATCTGTCCGATTGTCGAAGAAGACCAGAAGCTGCTTTGTTGAAGCAATTCAAATACACTCGCAACTTGGCAAGCTGCACATCACCGCTGCAGATGCCAAGGCCCCTAATTATAACACGCTCTTCGTCCACTTTATGCTCACAGCGATCTCTTGATTGCTTATCAGGCAAAAAAGCTACCAAGCAGTTGAACGCGGGTTCGTCAATTGGCCATTCCAGAATAACATGTTGTCTCTCAGCAAAAATCCTAGTTATTCCCAGAGGCTTTCCACTCAACTTTAATTCCATGACGCTCACATGACGCCTGGTTGAGGTCGGCAGAGGTCCGTACCGACTCTCAAGGCCCTTGACAACGCTATTGACAGCCTTCATTGACAGGGCCCGGGACAACTGCCCATACGCAGTCATCTTTTGATCAAAATCAGTTATATAATCTGCGGGAATGAGCGATGCAATTGGAAGATACACTTCTGTTGATGTCACAGGATTTGGCATTGCTACTGGAATTGGCTTTCCGGTTCGAGCGTGCTCAAGTTCTTCAGACAGCATCATCGCGTACTCCTCCCCTTCAATGGAATTGTTCCCGTGTTGCTCAACTCCTAAAATGGTACCTACGCCCCGCATCTCCATGTCCCTCTGTGCAATTGCAAACCCTGCTCCTAAATCGCTGTATCTTTCCAGAGCACGCAATCGATCAAGCGTGTGAACAGCCTGGCACGCCCCCGATGAAGCATACAGCAGAAAGGCATAAGCTTGAACATCAGAGCGTCCAACGCGACCGCGCAGTTGATGAAGCTGAGCCAGTCCGAACTTGCCCGCGTCCTGTACAATAATGGTGTTGACATCTGGCATATTGATACCATTCTCAATAATTGTTGTGCATACGAGTACATCGTATTCCTTCTGTGCAAAGGCCCATATCCGATGTTCCAAATCATTGATAGAACCATGCGCAACTAGTACCTTAAGTCCAGGAAACAAGTCCCGGACCCAGTCAGCCAAAGCTTCAATGCCTTCAATCCTTGGTACCACAAAGAACACTTGACCACCCCTCTCAACCTCCCGGGTGATAGCTGCCCTTACTATTCCTGCACCAGATGGAGATACTTTGGTGATAACCGGTTTTCTGCCAGGTGGGGGTGTCCTTAGGACAGAAGCGTCGCGAAGACCGCTCAAGGTAAGGTGCAATGTGCGTGGAATTGGCGTAGCTGACATAAAGAGCGCATCAATACCGCGGTATCGAGCTCGAATCTTCTCCTTTTGATTAACTCCAAATCTATGTTCCTCGTCAACGATCAGCAAGCCCAGGTCTGGAAAAATACATTTGTCGTTGAGCAACATGTGAGTGCCTATGGCGACGCGAACCTCTCCAGAGCATACTCTATCTCTGTTCTCAATGTTTATCTTCCGTGAAGTAAATCTGGTCATGCAGGCCATTGCGATTTTGACGGAGGCCCCTTCAAATCTGCTTCGAAAAGTATCGTAGTGTTGCTGCGCCAAAATTGTAGTGGGGGCAAGGATGGCGACTTGCTTCCCAGCTGCCAAGACCCGGAACGCCGCTCGAACTGCAACTTCGGTTTTTCCAAACCCCACATCACCGCAAAGCAATCGGTCCATGGGGCGCCGATTCTTGCTCATGTCTCTCATGATCTGTTTTGTTGCGGCCTCCTGGTCCTCGGTGAGGACAAACCCGCACTCCAAATTAAACCTTTGTTCTGCCTCTTCATCAACAGGAAATGGGGGTCGTTCGATTGTTGTTCTCTCCGCATACAGGCCATGGAGATTAATAAGTTGCTTCCTTATCTTGGCGCGTGTCCGTTCTCTAGCCACGTGTTTTGAGCGTTTGCTACGTGAAGCTTTAGAAGAATTGTAATACGTTGCCGAACCGGAAATCGTATCAAGTCGATCGAAGGTTTGCATTTCGAGATCAGATAGGCGTCGAATAACCTCGAAATGTGAGAATGGAACATAGACGTCGCCATCGCGATATTCAATAACAGCATATTCCTGAAGAGGACGAGGCGCACCAGGCGTTGTCGGGGCTGTGGTGCTAACAGTCCGCTCGACACCTCGAAAACGACCAATGCCATGGCGGGAATGCGAAACTAAATCACCTGGACGAACGGTAGCATCATCACTTGGCAACGGGGAGGGAGTCTTCCTCTTTGGCTGCCTTGTCGCAGAAATATCAATGACCCCGGATGCATTCCTTCTCGCCGGATATAGCGTAGTTTGTGGTTCGGTTCGCTTTTGAGGCTTCCGAGTTGTAGTCTTTGCCCGGACGCCTGAAGACGACACACGGGCATTTTGCGATGGGGACTGCGGAATGAGTAGGGATTCGTTTGTTTTCTGCTGCTGCGGTTTAAAGCGGCCTAAGTGTGGCGGTGAAGTAGGTGCAGCCGGGGATGTGGCGGCGTCAACAGTTCCAAAGAGATCGGCGGCGGAGAGTTTTTCATCGACAATCTGGGAACGAAGGGTTTCGTCTTCATCGTCACGGTCTTTCGAGGTATTCCGAGAGATTTGAAGACGCTTGGCGTTTACTCTTTTGGTCGCGAGGGACGTTTGGTTGGCAGAGGAGGACGTCGTGCCGTGAATCGTGCTGTTCTTCAGCAAATTGAGGTCATCCAATGGCAGAAAGAAGTCGTCATCGGGAATGGAGGCTTCTGTGCAGAAGACGACCGGACAGCTAGTTGGACGGGGCCGACGCGTGGTGGTGCGATTGGAGAGCGAGGATGTGCGCGAGTGGGTGCGGAAACGAGGAATAAATGCAGTGGAGGGGACAAATGCGACATGAACGGGACAGGGAACTGAAGGCGTTTCAGATTGTGAGGACATCTTTTGTCTCTGTACCCGCATAGGAGGACGGATGTCGGTGAGAAGGAAGGATGAGAAAAGAAGACGGAACCGAACTGTTGTTCGAACTGTTGTTCGGTGGGATTCGCTTCAAACTTTATGTGATGTTGCGTCGGGAGAGCATCGCACGCAGATACCCGCCGACGTCCACAAAAACATGGCCCTGAATCGGTCAGACGTTAAAATAATAATAAAATAGGGACGGACGATTGCATGGAGGCGTTTCAGCGAGATGGGGGTGGCCTCAGGCTGCAAGAAACACATTCGGGGCACACCAATAAGGCAAAATTTGCAATTTAAGGCTTGATCAGGGAGATCTCTACAGCGCCCAAGGGTAGCGCATGTGTTCTGCGCGGAGCACAAGTGGCACCGGTAGACAGATTTCAGCTACAGCAAGCTGCGCACGTGTACACAGACTCGTCAGATGTCTTGTACTCGCACAACACATTTAACACGCAATTGGGGAGAAAAGGGGCACAAAATATGACTGATTTTGGTCCATCCGTCACTATCATAAAATTGCGGAAATATGATACCCCTGCATGTCTCATACGTATGCAAAGCTCTGGGCACGCTGAATGAGAATATGTACAAGTGGGCTCCGTGACGCGCGTTGGGCGCCGCAAGTGGGGAGGAATGCGAAAGAGTTTGAATGTACCTTCCCCATCGGTACAATTTGGGCATGTTTGGGAACCTCCCAAAATCTTTAATTTCATTATCAAAAACGGATCTTTTTTTGACGAAATTTTTTTTCTTGACGCCTCGAAGCTCGTCCGGCTCAATTTGGGCACCCCTTTCTTGTCCAACTCAACGAAGTTGCAACAAACCGAGCAGACTTTTCGCCGCTGAGTGCGCGCTCCTCGCAGGGCAACTCGGTGGAGAACCTATACGCGTCTTCGAGCCATGTTCTCGCCACCTTCCAATGGGAATATCGTCCAACGAATGAGGAAAGTCACTTTCAAAATTTCGCGCTACAATGACCTCTCTGGTGTCGGATTCGTTCTCTTTGTCCCCACTCTGGTTCGCCCTGCTCCTGATGTCCGCCCTCACTTCCCCTTCGTGCGCAGGCCAAATTGAAGAGCACAGTACGGTTGTTTCTGGCATGGGAATGACTGAGGATGTTCTCGACCTGAGACTTCGACAGTCCTGTGCAACCAGCCAACTCCTCTAAACCCAACCCATCTAAAATTTCTTTGGAAAGGGATTACATGGCTTGTTTCTCAGCGTGAAAACCCCGGATATGGAACAAGCCACTCGTGAAGAGGGAGTGCTTCGTTCTTATCACACTCAGCATATGTAGTCGTCATCCTGTCCCGGTCCTTCTTCGATTTCCTCCAAAACTCCAACCAAAGCTCGCTAAATATCTTATAGGACGGTTGATCACCAGAGCGACATAGCGAGGGCGTCCAGGCATTCCAGGCTTCAGTTGTTCAACAATAAGATTGAGAAATCTCCGCACCGATAATATGTCCCCAGCGGAGTCTCTGCCAATCTCTACACAAATCACATGCTGATCAAACGTGGGTTCAGCAGCCCCTCCATGTGGTTTGAAGCACGACAATAGCAGAGTCCTGAAGTTGATAGGTGGACTGCTGCATTTATGTCCAAACTGTTCTCTGGTACTTGTGTTGTACTCGGAATTTTTCTGTTCTTGTCCGCCCACAAGGGCTTTTCTATAGAGGGCAGTAATTCCAAATAAAACATCGTTGAACCGGTCTAGAATTATTTGTGTTTCGGGCGTGGAGAAAGAATCCCCAAAAGCCTCCCTGTCACCCAACAACAATTGTGGTCGCCAAGAGGTTTGTCCCTCTGTTTTGCGCCTTTTCGCATCTGGAAGAAAGAGTTCCTCATCTTCCGTCTTCCGCTTTTGTGTTACTGCTCGCAGTAAGGAACCATTAACTTTAGGCATAGCCTTTTGGTCTGCCTTTACGGCATGGAGAGGTTCTATATCCCAATTGTCAAACTGCAGCGTTGGAAGGGCATAAGGGTCCAATCTGCTATATTCCCAAGGACCTTTTCTCTCCCTGTCTGCTATGAGTTTCTGTCGGTATCCCTTGGTGACATTATATGATAGGACATCCCCATGGCATTCAGAACACTGAGGTTAGAAGGACTGACCTCACATATCCCTGAAATTGACGTACTGACCGTCAACGGCCCAGAAACGGTATTCGTTCTGGACAGTACCATTTGTTCTATTACTTTCAGCACCCTAACACATAAATCTAGGTCATATCTTGAGTATTCAGAGTTCTCATTTAAAGCCTCCTCAATAGAAGGATGCGTCAGTGCTTCCAAGTCATTAGACACAGGGAATGTATCGACCAAACGACCCCCGGTAGTGTTCGCCAAAATTTTCCATGAGTTTATTTTCTTCTGCGATGACATCATTAGCACAGTGTCAGTCCATAGAGCTCTGGGGATTGAGGCCACCTCTGTAATTAATGACCATTTACCATTCCAATATATTTCTTTGCACTTTCGAAAACGTTTGGATACAAATTCCAAACAAGCTCTTGTCTCAGTATATAGCTGGGGCGTATCCAATCTGCAGACGTAGTCCCCCTTTCTCGCTGAAATCATACCGGCAAGAAGCCTCTGAACTTCATCAGCACGAACGTATACCCGGAAGCGTGCACTGAGCTTTGTGGTATAACTACCTTCGTCCCGACCACTCGGAACGAGGGGGGTTAGAGGTGAGGGAGCGCGCGACGCTGGGTTACCCACGCGCGGATAGAAACCGTACGGATGGACTCGAAAAGAGGGAAGGCTCACGTGGCCGGTGACGCGCAGCCGGTCGGTGGTGTTATACCCGGACGGCCGGTCACGGGTTAGAAGCCCGAGCTAAAGGAAAACCGGAACGGTGTTAGCACTTAGCCGTAAAGGGAAGGGAGGCGAGTCTGCCTCCTCTTTACTGGGACGGGGCAGGTGCCCCCGGTCTTAACCCCTAAGTGGGACGCCAGGACACCTGTCCCGCTACAGTAGCTGTTACTTACTGTATACCAGCTACTGTACACAATTAATAAATTCGTGCCATTAACTACTAATTACTACTTATAACCGTACGGATTACACACGTGTGCCCGTGGCCACGCCAGCGGTTGTAGCACGTGTGACCCGCGGGGTACTACTGTACTCCGCAACGGGCGGGTGCAAGCCCGGTCGCTACAGTAGCACCCGCTCTTCCGTCCGGTTCACATCTCCCCGGGGTGGTCGTGGTACGCAATTGTACTACAAGCTTCTTCAAAATTATTCCTTCGGCAGCGAGTGCTGTTTCTATAATTTTGGCGACAGTACGACGGTCCAATGATGAAAGAGGACGGGCCCATTTGGAACCATGAATATTTGACAAGCGTGCTCTAGCCCTTATAACGTCTGCAAATGGAAGCAGGCGTACATTCTCCGCTGATTCTACTTGGATAGATTTGCAGCTCACGCGAAGCCGTATGGCCACAGCAGAAAGCTCTTCAGAGCAGGACGGTTTAGTTAACGGCGACTTCGTCGCTTCTGCGCTTGATGACACACTGAATTTTATAAACGGAACGAGCCAGCGATCAATCGGTGAAGACAGTTCGGGTACTGAGACGTTTGGAAGCTTACCAAAGCTTCCTTCCGTGATAATGTAGAGACAGCTACGACAGCTGTACTGTCCTCTCACATCTGAAGCAGATAAATAGCCATTGGAGTCACTCCGGATATTATCGTCAAACTGTGACAGTTCTTCCATATCCTCTAAACTATTCCCCTTGATCGAATTGATTCTCCATAGACGAGATGTTTCACGATAATCATTGTCAAAAACACACCCGCAATTCTTGAAAACACATCCCTCAGAGTTGTTGGTTCTTTGTAGTCTCATTGCTCTTTCTTGCGAGATTCTGCTGTGGTTTAAATGTACATAGCAGAGATGATGCACGGAAGGGTCCCTCAAGAGCTCCTGAGCAGTTATGTTGTCACATTCAGAAAGTCGAATTAGCTCATCTGTAAATGCCGGACGAACAGCTTCGCCGTCAGAAGTGACATTGAACAGCGTCCAATCCCGCGTGGGGTTTCTTCTCCTATTTTCCCTACTACCCACCTCTGAACGCTTCCACTGTACGCCCTAGATATTTCTAGAACAAATGAAACAGCTGACGGTAGAATTTCTGAGAGCATCGGGAAAACATCTTCTCTTCCAGAGCCGCAGGGCCTTTGACGCTGATTTGGCACCATACCTCCCCGGATTACACAATACCTGCCATCCAGCTTTATTGTCCCGGCAAGCAGTGCAGAGGTACACAGCCGATTTCTCCGCTACATGAAGGGTAGCAAAAGGGTTCAGGGACGTCCCTGTGTCAGCTGTAGCCCTAGCTCTTACCTGGTGTTCATCAAGAAGTATTAGCAGGCTTGGTTTTCGTCTGTCTTGTGTTTGGCAGGCAAGGGGGACATTGCAACCCGTCATGCGCCCCTCCAGATGGCAACGGATCGGACGAAACGGGCTCCGCATGTACCATACTTGGCCGTTTTGCGCATTAACCAGCAGAAACCGGAAGAGATCTCAACTGAGCAGCGCTTGAGATATGTGGAGAGAGTGTCGCTTCTCGGGAAGAGATGGAAAATGCGAGCCAAAAGTCAAGGGTTGGTAGTACATCCGAAACTGTGGTCTTATGACCTCGCGGAGGTCCAATTCTAACATTGCTAGTGTCAGCTCGGCATGGCCCAAATTTTATCATAACAGCCAAAATGTCAGATAAACCCGGGTGGTCACTGACTGAGATCTCTGGTTTGAAACGTAGACGTCCTGCAAGGGCATTTTCCGCTCTGTACAGTTGTAGAAATATGATTGGACATTTCTGTGTAAACTGCGTGTTGGTGGGTGGCTCCCTTCGTGCTACTCTAAGTGGATCGCGTGTGAAGTCGTTGCAAGTTATTCAGCACTAGGCTGGCCTGTTTCGGTCTGCTCCTCCACTGCCCGGACATTCTTTTTCAGCTATCCTACTCTA